TTGAATTCACAAAACATTTATGATTTCTCAATATATTTTTAAAGCTCACAACTTCTTGAAATTTGATTCTTTTGAAAACTCGAACTAACTTAAGAAGGAAAAACAAAAACGAAAATGAAAAAGTGAAAAGCAAAAAACGAAATAGAAAACATGGGGTGCCACCACCTGCAAAGGGGTCGGCCCATTAGCACGTGCGGGAGGAGGAGGCGCGCTTCATACCGAGAAAAAAGGGTAGGAACCAGGGATCGAACCACCGCCTTAGCCATTGGGCTAGTTGTGTGCTTGTGTTTCACAAGTATATCAGCGTATAAGAACCGAACCCGACGTTGATTTTTTAAATAAAACGAATCATTTTACTTGTGGATGGCATGATGGGTAATTTATGATAACCTTCGGCATAACTTTTATGACAAACGACTAGAAGCAATAGCCTCTTTATTATTAGAAAAAAGATTGGAATTCATCGTCACCGTCTTCATCGTCGTCGTCTTCATCGGATGATTCAAACATAAAAGAGTGGACGACGATGTCAACAACCTAGTGTTATTGCATTTGGTGGACAAGTTTGAAAAGGGCCCGAAGAAAAAGCGCCACACTCCATTGTTGCTACGATCCAACAGTAAACAATGTATTGAAATTGAGCTTCACTCACGATTATTTGCCCGCAGTAATTACTAGGCACAGGAGTAGAAGTGTCACAGCACTAGATTAATTGTGTGCAATAGTTGCATTTACATCCATACATTATGGCAGTCTTTCCTTAAACCTGAAATGGGGATTAACAAACCCTAGCACTTCTTTGAAAACTAGGATCAACCAAAAGAATATTTTTTTCAATGAACCCAAAAATGCCTTAATTAATGTTTGATAATTTTGGCAAGGGTTTTGATCCAAGCCAAAAATAGTGAACATTTTTAGGGAATTATTTGGGCTTTGATTTAATCCACTAATGTATTTGAGTTGGAGCAAATAAATCCTATAAATATTTTTATTGCTCCAATAATTCTGAAACTTCTTGTGGAGCTCTCGGTTAAACCATTTTGCATCCACAATTATTTTCAGAAGCTGCAAAAATAATTTGGTCAGCAAACCAAATTCAAAACATCTGCAGAAATTAGAAAACAGAAATAAGAGAGAAAGAGAGAAGTACCTGGGCCTTACCTGCTACTGTAGCTCGCCCAGTCGAGCCGGCCCAGTCCACCTTCTCAGCGCCAGTCGTCCTCAACCTCGTGCTCGCTGCACGCTGGCCACGCGTCGCCCCACCTCCTGCTTCCCGCCGCTCCCCGACGCGCCTGTGAGCGCCACGCACTCCCTCCGGGCCCCCTCCCTCTCTCTCGCGTCCATCCCCTCCTCTCCCTCGCTCTCTTCTGCGACGGCCGACGCGGCCACGGAAGTGCCGCCGTGAACCACCGCGCTCCCCGACCCCCTCTTGCCTTCCCGTGTTGCGTGGAAGCTCCGCCACCATCGCCCACGCCTCCTGGACGACCCGCAGGACGCCGGACGCACCGCACCACGACCATGGCGTCGTCTTCAACCTCTCGGCCGCCGAGATCGCCGACGACCGCACGCCGCCACCAACCCTTCCCCGAGCCCGCTGAGACGCGTACTGCAACCGCCGTGAGCTCCTTCCCCGAACCCTCCTCTTCTCCGTCTCGTTTGCATGCCGTAGCACCATGCCCCACCGTCACCGAAGCTCGCCGCCGTTGCGCTTCGTTGCCACCGTGGCTAGAGCGAACGTAGCTCGAAGCCGAGCACACCGTTGTGCTCAGCGCGGCTCCAGGAACCCGTAGCGCCCACCAACTCCTCATGTTGTGCTCCGTAGCCCCGTTCCGCTCGACGCCGTAGCTCCGGCCGCCGCCGAGGTTGACGTCGTGCCCAACTCCATTCACCTAGCGCCCTCCCCTTGCCACAGTTGGATGCGCACGAGCCCCAGCTCCTCGTAGGTGGGCTCGGCCATCGTTTTGGTCGCCGGAGCAGCCATCCCGATCATCGCTGCCGCGTCTGTGTGCTCGCCGGCGTTGAATTCCGGTGAGATGATGTGGCCCGTCATTAGCCACTAATGACCCTGCTAATTAACCCCCCTAAGTCACTGACACCTGGGTCCCATGTTTTAGCTAACCATAGTTTATTTCTCTGTTTAGCTTAAACTAACCACAGTGGCCCCACATGTCAGCATTGACTTGCTGACGTGGCCGTTGACCAGGCCCACCTGTCAGCCACACAACACAGCCCTGGGTCGCTGACCAATGGACCCCACTGGTCAGGTTTGACCTGGACCGCCTCTGTTGACTTGCTGACGTCACAGTGACGCAATGATGACGTAGTTAATAATTTTCTGGATTTAAAATAATTATAAAATTCCAGAAAATGCCCAAAACTTCTAAAAAATCATAGAAAATTATCTATAACTCCAAATAAGATAAATTATATATGAAAAATTATCAAAAAAATCCAAAGAATCTGTTTATGGCATTTTCATGCATGTTTGAACAAGTTAACCTCACTGAATAGGACAATTCATGATTATGGAATAAATGGTAATTGGTGGAGTTGGAATTTTCTATAGGTTTGAATTCCACTTCAATGAATATGACTAACTGTTGCACTAGGTCAATTCAGTACTTAATATGACATATCATTCATATGAATGTGCATTGCATTGATTGTGGTTCCTTTTGTGTTTGTCGGTGGTTGTTCCCTTTTAGTAGACGATGTTTCCGACGACGTGATCGATGACACCGATGAAGAGATATACTATCTTCAGAAGTGCCAGGCAAGCAAAACCCTCTTGTTCATCCTGATACAATCCCACTCTTTTGCTCCTGCTCTCTTTTACTGCATTAGGACAACAACGTTTCAACTGTTACATGTTGCGGTAGCTGAACCCCTTTCCTCTGCATGACCTGTCATTGCCACAGTAAATAGATGAAACCCACTAGCATGAGTAGGAGTTGTTTGAGCCCTGATGTGCCTACTCATTCATGTTTGTTTGTCATGCCTGCTACTTCTTAGAGTTGAGTCAGGTATGATTCATCGGGGATGAATTGGAATGTGGTGAACATGTCCTACCGTTGAGAGCTAAGTGTGTGAACACGATTTGGTAAAGATAGCGGTGAGAGGCCATGTAGGAGTACATGGTGGGTTGTCTCATTGCAGCCGTTCTTAGGAACTGAGTTCTGTGTTTGTGATCCATGAACAGTTACTACCACACATTGGGTTCCGGTAACTCGACTCCTCTCGACTTATTAATCCACTCGATCTCTGTTCAGGAGTTGCAACTAGTTTCTGGTGTTTGTAGGTAGTGTTAGTAGTCTACCAAGTGGCACCCGGTACAGGTGGGCTTGGGACAGACTAGGCACAGTAGCCCGGTGTACCAAGTGGCACCCGGATGGTGGGCTTGGGAACCCTATACACATCGTTTGGGGTCGTGAGCGACACCCCGGCCGGATCTCCTTGCGGATGGTACCCGAATAGACGATAAACCTGGATGAGAGACTTGTGTAATTAGTCAGGTCGTTGCCGACTCCCTCGCCCGGCTTCCGCTTGAAGATTGCCGAGGTACATGACGTGTACAGGGCGATAAGTGGCGAGAGCATGTGTGAAGAAGTACACCCCTGCAGGGTTATCATTATCTATTCGAATAGCCGGATTCCTCGGATATGGAAACTTGGACCCTTTGCATAGTTCATAAACAAGTGAAAGTGGATACTCTAAAATGAGCAAGATAAGCGTGAGTGCTATGGATGACGTTCTCGTAGGGAGACGGGAGCGGATCCATAGTGGAGTATTGATATGGTGAATATGTGGACTCGTGTGCGCCACCGCAAAAAAGTTACTTGCAGCCGTAGTTCAGGATAGTCATCGAGTCAAAGTTGGCTTGCTGCAGTTAAACCCCACCATCCCTTTTGTTGATAATGATGCATATGTAGTTAGTTCTGATGTAAGTCTTGCTGAGTACATTTGTATTCACGTTTGCTTAATTTATATTTTGCAGAGAGACTTCAGTCTCGCTAGTAGTTTCGTGTGGACTTCGACATTTAGCTTGTTACCTCATCTACGATCTTGTACCCTTGGGAGGGTCTTGTAGATAGTCAGGCTTTTCAGTCTTCTTCATTTGTAGTTGTCTGTACTCAAACAAGTTAAGCTTCCACATGCGCTTTGCTTGTATGCTATGATTATTGGGTCATGAGACCCATGTTTGTAATATTTTGCTCCTCGGAGCCTAATGAATAATACTCCGAGTCGTAGAGTCTTGTTGTGATGCCATGTTGTATTGCACATATTGAGCATATTGTTTGTATGGTTGCAATGCTTGGTATATGTGGGATCCGACAACCTAGTTGTTTATCCTTAATAGTCTCTCTTATGGGGAAATGTTGTCGTGTACTTCCATGAGCCATAGTAGTCCGCTACAGCCCGGTTCACCGGAGTCCTGCTAGCCCAGCACTACTGTTCTGGAACACTTGACTGGCCGGCATGTGATTCACTTCGTTCCTGTGTCTGTCCCTTCGGGGAAATGTCACGCGGTGACATCCGGAGTCCTGCCTAGCCTGCTACAGCCCGGTTCACCGGAGTCCTATTAGCCCAGTGCTACAGCCCGGATTTGCAGCTGCTGACCGACATGCTCGATGTTGATTCATGTATGCCTGTCCCCGTAAGTTAGTGCCATTTTGGGTTCACGACTAGTCATGTCGGCCCGGGTTCTCTGTCATATGGATGCTAGCGACACTATCATATACGTGAGCCAAAAGGCGCAAACGGTCCCGGGCCATGGTAAGGCAACACCCGTGAAAATACCGTGCGTGGGGCCGCAAAGTGATATGAGGTGTTACCGGCTAGATCGATGTGACTTGGAATCGGGGTCCTGACAAGAAGAAACATCACATGTGCACGTTTCCCTCAAAAAAAGGAAAAGAAAAAGAAACATCACACGTTTCCCTCAAAAAAAAAGAAAAGAAACATCACACGTTCCCCTAAAAAAGGAAAAAGAACAAGAAACATCACACGTTGGGCAACACCGCCACTCCTCGGAGGAGATCCTCAGACAACCTCCTCACCGAAGCGCAAGAGGACCCACTATGGTCCACTGCCTTGCGGCAGACCACCATCATTTCCATGGCCTTCTCCTTCGCCCTCCTCCCTTCCTCGCCACCGCCCATCAGGGACCTCACCGCTCGCTCCAGCTCTGCCGCCTCCACGAAGTTGTCCCGTTTCCTGTCCACCGTCAGCGGCACGGCCACGCCCATGTCGCAGACCAACGTTAAGGCGTTGAAATGCTGCTCCGCGCCGAGCGGCCACGGCAGCATCGGCACGCCGAACCAGAGACTCTCCAGGACGGAGTTCCAGCCGCAATGGGTGACGAAGCCCCCCACGGAGGCGTGCGCGAGTATCTCCTTCTGCGGCGCCCTCTTGGGCCACACGAGCCCCCTTTCCTCTGTCTCCCCCAAGAAACCTTCCGGGAGAAGCTCCGCGAGGTCCCCGTCGCTTGGGTGTCGCGCGCCGTGCGAGGTGTCCGCCGGCAGCCCACGGAGCACCCACACGAAGCGGTGGCCGCTGCGCTCCAGGCCCCGCGCTATCTCGTGCGCCTGCGGCTTTGTCAGGAATCCTTTGCTCCCGAAGCAGAGGAACAGCACGGAGGCCGGAGGCTGCGCGTCGAGCCACCGCACGCACTCGTGCGTCTGCTCCTCCTCCTCGGCGTGAGCGGGTGGCGTCAGCGCCAGCACTGGGCCGATCGGGTACACGGCCGGGGCGCGGGCTCCACGTGTGCACCGACCTTCAGCGATGGCTGCGAGGACGCGCGGCTCCAGATCGTCTGCAGTGTTGACGATGATGCCGCTGGCTTCCACGTAGCGCCTGCCGGTGTACACGAACCACTTGTAGGTCGGACTCTTCCGTTCCAGCAAGGTCCCCGGGAGGACGGACGGCGGCACCGGGGGGAGGCCGGGCAAGTCCAGAGCGCCTCCCATCTCCTCGAACTCAACGACCACCTCGTCGTCCAGAGCGGGCGAGCGCAAGAGGAGTGACAGCATCGCGGCGCTGGAGGTAAAGTAGACGTAGGACGGCACGGCGAGCTCGCCGGACACGTCTAGCGCCGGCGTGCAGAATATGTCGACGACGAGCGCGGCCACCGGACAGGTCAAGCCAATTATAGCTGCGCGGAGATGGGGCACGTGGAGCTGCACTGCGCGGGAGATGAACTCCTCGATGCCCGAGTGGTCCGTCGGGAGCTTCACGTCCGGGAGATGGTGGAAGTGGATGTCCACGGCGCCTGCCGCTTCCTCCCGGCGTACGTGCTCGCAGATGTCGGACGCGGCCTGCGCTGTCGGCGCCGGCATTAGGAGCACCGTGAGCGACAGGGGCCGGCTGCTGCTGGCGAGCAGCTGCTTCCCGGCCTGTATCATGGGCATGAAGTGGCCGGCGCCCCAGACCGGCAGTAGCACAATGGTCGGATTCGCCATTGTCGGTCTTCGGCTGGCTAGTGGCTACTAGATCTGTCTCTAGCTAGTGCCTTTCTCTTTTTCTATGGAAAATAGTTGCATGAGTATCCCATGAGTGAGACCCCATGAGTTGGTGTTTCTTATAGCCATTGCAGTTGCAGACAAGGGCAGTATTTGTACGGAACGACGATAACGATGTGAGTCCATGTTGGAAACTTGAATAACCGTGACTTCCTAGAGTTGCACGAGTGTCCCATGCATATATGCTAGCGACAAAAATAGTGTCATACATCATCACTAGCGTTGGTAGGGTTCATATATGTTATATGAACGTCCACGTACGTCCTCTTCTAATTATCATTAGCATTGGTAGGTTTGCCTCTTCATCACCGATTTAATCAGGTCCTCTCATCGGGTCCTTTTCTTCCATGAGTTCCACCATAATGTCTTCATCGGGTCCCTTTCCCCATTAATTCCACCGAAAAAGATGCCACTTTTTACCCTCTCCTTACTTGTAGTCCTCGAGATGGCTTATTGACTTAGCTCACAGAGCGGTTAGGAGGACAATGATATTCCTAACCCATGAGAGTTTAAGTCTTAAACTTGATCTTGATGCTTGCATTTTTTTAGAGTACATGTTGAAAACTTGGAATAATGGTGAACGAACTCGTTGCCATCACCAAAGCCACGTAACTCCTTGTATTTGTGGGGAACAAAAGAACTGTCTAAGTGCTAATCATCATCATCATCATCAGTGGCGGAGCCAGAAAAATAGGATGAGGAGGGCCGAGTATTGTTAAACCTTGTTGGGGTGAGCCAATCCATCAAAAACACCCATTTTTAACAAAACAATCACTACTATTGTTTA